GGGACTACAAAATGCCTGCATCGATTGTTGCAAAGTTCCGTGACCTCGCCAAGCTTCGCTATGGCAAAGAACGGCAACGCAAACTGCTGACCCTTGACCGCACTGATGTGGTGAGGTGGGGGGACAAGTGTGTGTATTGGACATGTCATATCATTTCCCATCAAACTTGGGTAACCATGTAATACTGTAATGTGAAAGGCTTCAGGGAGAGAGGGCTTTTCGTGAATGATTGTTTAAGCTTTGTGGGAATCCAGACTGCCTGTTGTTCAACAGCCATCATTGCTGTGCCCAGGATGAATCTGTGCTACAGATGGGGCAGCAAATGGCCGAGCGAAGCGTGGCTTCTCGGTTGCATCAGAACCTTGGCTGCACACCTACGACAAATCTTGAACACACTGAATGATCAGCACGATGGGCAGCTGATTTTTTGCAATTGGCAATTATTCATGTGTTGACATAATGTTGGCTGGCAAATGCTGAGGGAATGAAGTGGCGCATGACATTGCGATGAATGGTTGAACATCATCCTTGAGTCAGTCGAGGCTTTTTAATTTCAATTTCCGCTGGCTGAGCGCTGGCAGGAAAAATGGTGCAGTCAATTGTTTTGAGTGGTCAGATTCTCGTGAACCAATGTTTCTTGGTTTCTTGTTTGGCCACCTCCCCATTCTGAGGTCATGCCCTGAAAGGGCTTTCAATGCTGGTTGGGAGACTCAGTGCTGGCAGATATTGTTTCCAATTGCCAATGTCTAACACTTTCCAATCGTCACTTGCCAATTGCTCTGGATTTGTAGACTCGGCTTTGGCCTTTGGCTTTGCTGTTTGGTCCTTGGCTCTAATTACAAATCCAATTTTCACTTTTGATTCAAGTGCAGTCTCAATTTCAAATATCGTTCTATTCAATTACAATTGTCAATTCTAAAAGGCAGTGGATAGTCTGGATGATGAAGCTCTGCCCAGGTGGCCTTGCGGCTGTCCCACACAGAGGACCAATCTGTTTGGGACTCAGCTGCATGTTCCATAGCCTAATAGCAGTTCCATCAGTGATTCACAGCACTTTGGATCCTTCAAACTCGGTTTATGTGAAGATTCATGATGTTTCCATCCAACACCATCCAAGATACACGATGTTGGATATTGATAACAGTTTCATTGAAATAGTGTGGAATCTTGGAAACCGCTTTTAGAAACATGGATACCCACCAGTGGTCCCAACCTGTGGTCAACTGTGTGCCATGTGAATCAGACTCCCTGTGGTCAATTGCTTGGCTTGGACAGTAGGTGAATTTGAGGATGTTCGATCAGTCCGGAGATGTCTTTGTGGAGAAAAGACACTTGTCAGATATCTGATGAACTCCTGACCACACATTGACAGAGGCACTTTCTGTAGTGAAGCGCCAAGTACTTCAGATCCTTCCATGAATGAATTACATTTCAGAAGCCATGTACTGTGGACTGCCACCTTCCTTGGCCATACTTTAGCAATTCTAAAGATGTTGACCTGATGCCCTGCTTGCGTGGATGCTTTCATGAATCATCATCATCATCATCATCATCATCATTGTTGTTGTTGTTGTTCTGGCATCGTCATCATCAGTGGTGGTATTAATTAAATGAGTGCTGCTTGTGTTCCCTCAGCCAGCCAGTTAATGCTTGTTGTTGGTGATGATATGTAATGAAGTTGTTGTTGTTGTGGTGGTTGTTATTGTTATGGTTGATGCTTTGGCTGGTTTTGGAAGTGCTTGTTATTGCTGTTGTTGTTCTTACTTCGTTTCCTTGTAGTAGTTTTTTTTTGTTTTCTTTTGTCCTCGCCTGCAGTTACCCTTCTTCTTTGTATATCTCCCTCTATTATTGCCATGATACTTGTTCAGGATCATTCGTGTTAGATTAGATCTTGCTGCTATGTCTCTTGCCCATTCATATGCATCCATGTTTCATAAGAGTGAGAACCGTGTACTTATAACATGTAGAGTTCTTTGTCCTTTATTTCAATACCTTCTATACCACATGTATGTTCACCTCCTATGTTAGTGCAAATATGATTTATTGTTTTAAGTGTCGGTGTGCTTTGCAATTTTGTTGCTTTTGACTTTCATGTCTTGGAGCAATCAATCAATCATCTCAGGAAGGATATTTTGGACGACTACAACTAACTACAACATTCCATCACAAATCCAGGAACGCTTCTTCTCACTTGGCAAGCTGAACTAACTGGGAAGGAACTGGCAAACAAAGCTGCTGAAACATGTCAGCGTGTTTTGAAATTTTGTCATGTCAGTTGAGCGTGACCAATTTGATGACAGTGCTGCATGCTCCTTCAGCTCTTTCAGAGGATCAACATGCTCTTTCGCTGGGGGGCACAAATTCGACAGTGTGGCTTGGTTGGACCAGGGCATTTGCAATCTGACCACAAGAGTGCTTTAACTGTTCATGAACTTGCCCTTTTGTGGAGCTTGTTTCAATGGTTCTCACCCATGTTTTGAGGTGAACACAGCACAGCCTTGGCATTGGCCTGCCATCGTTGACCACTGCGTTAAATAGGGGGCGTTTGAGCTGAGAGAATGTTCGAATGACAGGTGACACATGCATCATTTTCAGTGTGAGTCATGACCATGAATGACCTCCAGTGCTTGTTGATTCTGAGCCTGACAGGTCTGAGTTTCCAATTTTAAAAAAGACTGGCTAGGACCTCAGTCAGTGGTCGTGGTCATTGTCAATTGTAGGCTAGGCCCCACCTTCAACTTATTTAGTTGCCAGCGCTGCTATTGGTTAATGATGGCTTTCAGTTTTTTGATTAGATAGGATGTTCCCTTTGACAGCGAAAGCAAATTGGGCATTGTTTCTTGTTTGTGTAGCGTCATTGGCATTTGTCATTTTGTCATTTGTAACATGTATTGTCATTTTGTCATTGTCATTTTGTCATGTTGTCATCAGATTGTTTCTATCCCAGGTACTGTGCACCAAAAGACAGATCCAAAGGCAATGCCGAAGAGTCTATTGAAGTTGCGAGATTTTAAGGCGGAAGAGTCATTTGATCTTGAATATGTTCAACCCACCTGTCATGGGCACCCAGTGCACCATGCTCTCAGGTTCCATGAGGGACCTCAAAGTCAATTTCAATTGCAATCGGCAATGCCCAAAACAGTTTGGGGATAAAGTCAAGGCCTGGGGTGTTGTGAATGCTGATTATAATGATTGTGAAACGTGCTCATGGGTGTTGTTGTGTTGTGTCTTTATCCTTTTGACGCCATGAAATGTTGTTGCCCAACAAATGCAGTCCCTCACTCACTCACAGATGTTGCGGCAAGGCTGGACGTGAACCTGCAGTGGCCAGAGCTCGGTCTTGAGACACCATTAGTTTCATTGCGAAGACTTGTCTAGGATGGGGCCTTTGTTGGAAATTGATCAATCCAATTTGCCTAGGATTGATGGATGCACCTTTGGTGTTTGCATGCTTTGGACCAAGATTGCAGAGCAGTCAGTTTCAGTGAACTGCAGGGCAACCAGATTTGACCATTGTTTTCATTTCAGAAGCATCCAAGCCTCAAGCGACGCCTGCTGTGCTTTGCTTCCTATTTCAATTTCAGTTTTCTTTGTTTTGGAGACATGGACACAGTTGCCTTCGCTTGTCTGCGCATGAGTGTTTGGGAGTCCCAGAAGCAGGTGCCATGAGCTTTTCTTGACTGGCAGTCACAGAACCACAGGTCACGAATATGACACCTGCTGTCGGTCTGGTCCAGGCCACCTTGTCATCTACTGATGATCCATTTCGCCTTGACTTCTTTGGGAGCCAAGAGTGTGCTGTGTCTGCGTGTGTCAAGATGGACTACAAGCGCCAGTTTCTTGCCTGTTTATTCAAGCATGTTCTCACTCTTTGATTGATTTGATGGTTCAATTTGCAAGAGGAAGAGTAATGGTTTATGCTTTTGTATGAGGAACTCTTTCAGTGTGCTTGTGCCATTGTGTCTGAGGCTGGGCCTTTCACTTAGTGAGACTCAGCTTCCAGGCACAAAGGTGATGCGGCGCTCTGCGCTCTGGCACAAAGAGTCATTGGCTGCTAGTCGCCATATGATGCTCTTCAAGTTGGAGATTGACCTGATCAATGCTGTGAGGAAAGGCCATGTGAGGCTTGGCCAGCAAGGCATGGTGCATGCTGTGTGTGCGCCTGTTTGGTTTGCTGTTGCTTGTTGTTTTTTTTATGTCATTCAATCAAGCACACTATTGGGCAAGTCGTTGTGCTTCTTCAAATTTGCTTGCCAGGCTCGCCTATCAAGTTTTCTGTCATGTGCTTCTCCTTGCGCGATTCCCTCAGATTCCCCAACATGACTTTCCAGCCAATTGTCCTGACTGTGCAAGACAGCGGGCCCACAGCAGGACAGGTGCATGCAGGCCAGTGGAGATTCTATAGCATTGAAGAATCTGTGCAGTGCCTCAGAGAATTGGGGGTGTTGTTAAGTGTCCTGGAATTGATTGATAGGGAGATTGAGATGTTATGTTGTTTTGACATTTGACTGCATGATGCAGCAGCCCAGGCAAGATATGGTCCGCACTTGCCTGATGAAGAATGCTTTGACCAAGCTTGAGATCCCGAAAGCTGACAAGGTCCTTTTCACAGAGCTGCAAGTCTTGCCGATGACGATCTTCTTTTTGTCCAAAGGGGCGATTTCACAGGCCAGTGTTGCATGAAAATGCAGGCATCATTGTCATTCAAGCCAATGGGAACACTGAATTATTTACTGATTCTTTGACAGGTGCCGCTATCGGTGACACTGTTGAATGAGCCACCACACTATGTGGGATATCATGACTCCCCGCTCTCAGACTTTTGGATCCTCAAGGACACAGTTACTCCATGCTGTGATGTGCCTTGCTTGAGTTTGATAAGTTCTGACATATAGTTATTCTGTCCTCACTTCGTTTATTTGGCATCTATTCTAGTTGGATTGTTTGCGTGTTTGAAATGTGGCAGTGCAGAGCCGCCCATTGGGAGACTCAGTGCCTAGGCCGTGACATGCTCTGTGCTGGTGGTCGAGACAGGATCACCAACCTGTTGGTCTGACCTCACTCGCCTCCGCGAGTCGAAGCTGTTCAGGGGCTGGATGCGTGAGCTGGAGGACGACGAGAGTCAGCTGGAGGAGCGCTTGAAGGAATTCCGTAAGCAGATCCAGGGGCTGAAGCGCAACAGGGTTTTGTTTAAGGTGATTTTTTTCCCTTTGGATAAGTGAATCCCTTTTGGTATGTTTTTTGTGATGTATGTTTCCCTAGTTCCTTAAGCACATCCAAGGCAAGATGGTGGATGACAACAACATGAATCAGAGTGTCCTTTTCGATGAGACCCCTGCCCATGAGACACATGATGATGAGAAGGACCTCCCTGACAGCACCTCCAAGAAGACAAAGAAGACAGAGACCCATGCCCATGAGACACATGCCGATGAGAATGCCCTCCCTGACACGAAAGACAGCGCCTTCAAGAAGACAAAAAATACAGGTGAGGACAATTCTCAAGTGCAGGTGAAGCTGACATCAGAGATGCCTGTTGCTTCCTAATCAGTCAGGAAACCAGGCAAACCTCACAGTGCCCACCACTGCCTAGGCAGTGCTTTTTTTTTGAAATAAGCAGCAGTCTATTAAAGCACTGTTGCCTTTCTTTCTGTGGTTCAATTGTTTGTCAATTTGTCAATTGTCAATTGTAAGAAGCAGGCCTGCTGGCAGTGTGTGAAAAGTCATCGCTATGTCAATTGCAAATTGAAACACATGACTGCAAACTAGCTTTGCTTTGTGTTGTTTTCAATTGTGTCTCATGGAAGATGTTGCTTTCAATTGTCAATTGTGTCTCATGCAGTGCATGATAGCGTTTGCTTTCAATTGGCAATTGTCAATACATTGTTACTTTGTGTTCAATTGTCAGTGTGTTTGCAAGCAGTGCCACAAGACAGTTAAGTTTCTTTGGCTCTTTGTTTGTTGTGATTCTGTCGCTGTTTTTTCTTTTCCTGTTGATTGTGGCTGAGGTGGGGATCGGCCACTGTCAAGTTCACCCTTTCGATTTGCAAGTTTAACCAGGATCTGAGCAATGCACATGTTGTTCGACTTTTCAGGATGTTCCAGCAACACTCAAAGGTCCAAAAAATGGCAATAGAGCATAAGTTAATAAAGTCCAAGAGAAGCATGTGGCAATGCATGACCCCTCTTTTTGTTTCTGCAACTTACTCCCGATCTGAGCAATGGCAGCGATAGAGTTCGCAGATGATTCAGTGTTTGATGCAGAAGCAGAAGAAGCTTTGCCAATGGATGCTGCCTCTTTGTCTCCAGGGTCACTAGGCTGCAGATCCATGTTTGTTGCACAAGTATTAAACCCAATGTTTTGGTCAAGGCCTGGCCCTGTATCAACAAACCAGTCCAGTTGTCTCAAGGCGTGGCCCTGTGCCTTCAGAAGAAAACATCACAGCTGGCTTCCGGGCAACTATGATTGCTGCAGCATGCTTGGAGTCTTTCATTGGCCACTCAAAGATTCAGATGTCCAGGCTTCATTGTGGCATACGTTTCAGCACCCACTTTAGCGGTATTGGGTCGATTGAAGTTGCAGCAGATATGGTCAACAGTGCATGCAAAAACTTCTGGAACTTAGAGAGCCCTGGATAGTATTTCAATATATTATTGTTGTTCTTTGACTTTTGATTCAACCTGTTTATGCTGAGCATCAATCATGTGCTCATATATACTGTGACACCTTAGCAGAAAGTTGAGCCACGAGCTCATGTCAACAACATCATATTGATGAACACTGGGTTGATTAACAGGGCCATCATATTGGTATAACTTCACCTTTGTTGGAGATGGTTTGGCATTGAAATGGGACAATTCTGTTCTGAACTAAGGACGCCAGTGGTTCCTGTGTTCGGATGTGAACTTAGCAAACATTGCAGTCAAATTTTGCTCAAGAGATCAACCAACAATTGTGTGTACAAGAACATTATGGAATATTGGCCCACTTTACCGCCTTGGGAGCAGATACAGCCACTGTCATGGCAAGGCCGCTGGAAGTTGGTTCGTGAACACTTCAGTGCAGCAGCTCAACATAAATGTTGGAGGCATGATGGAATGTGCCATGATGAGCATCATGATTTCAACATCAGTGGCTCACCTTGTCCGCCTTGGTCTAGAATGGGTTCTCGCCGTGGTCTGCTTGATGAGCGCAGTTTGCTTGTCTTTATTTGGTGTGCGAACATGTTGGCTACACTGCCTGTGGCAGCTGTGCATGAGAACACTGAAGGCTTCATGGTTCCTCACCATGAGTTTGACTTAACATGTTGGCTTTGTTCTTGTATGTTTATTGTTGTTGTTTTCTCTCCTTCAGCTGCATATCAACATGTTGGTTCTTATCAGCATTCAGGAAAGCCTCCTGGATGGCATGCTGGGGCATGCCTACTACATCTTCCATTTGCATGCCAGCCCAGCAGACTTCGGTTGGACATTCATGCGCAGACCACGTGTTTTCTCAATCATGATTAGACGTCGAGGAACTTTGCAGCTGGCTGATGTGAAGACTGTTTACCAGCATATTTGTAAAAGGGTCCAGGAGCAGATCTGTTCATTGAAGCTCTCTTCAGCCTTCATTGCTTTGCCATCAGAGATCCTCAAGGCAGAGAATAGAGGCCGCAATAGATATCATCTACCTCCCTTGGAGGTTTCTTCCCTTGACAGAGGTGGCGACTGGAAGTACCTCCTGACCAAGAAGCAACAGTCTTATTTGGCCAAGTACAATTGCCTTTGGCTCAAAGAGATGGGCTCAGCACCAGACCTTGATCCAGATTGCCTTTTCGATTTGAGCCAAGACCCAGATCACCGAAAGGTCTGGAGTGGTCGCGCAAAACAAATCCCGACGTTGCGTCATGCTGGCAACATACTTTGGTCTCCATCCCACAGGCGTTGGACGCTGCCCATTGAGCTAGCAGTTTCAATGGGATTTCCTGTCACTGTGGAGACAGCCAGGGCATGCCATGTTGAACAAGATGTCACTTGACATATTATATTGTTCAAAGGTAGTCAGTCACTGTCACTACTTGTGGTTTTGTGGGAGGGTGATTCAGTGATGGAGTGAAGTCTAAGAAAACCCATTGAGTTGCTTTTTTCAAATCTCATGAACACAAACTCTTGAAAACCCAATCTTAGGTAGTCTCTGCCTCAATGGTATGTGGTGCAGACTTGGGGAATGCCATCCATGTTGTACACGCCAGCTTGCTGATGATGGCTACCTTGAGCTGTGTGGCAGACACTCACCTTGCAGACCAGCGATGAGTGAGAGAGGTTGGCCAGGGACTGATCAACCTGGCAGACCAGGAGTAGTGCTAAACACAAGATACATGTCCACCTCAATTGGACCCCCAAGATGAGCTGATCAAGCCGATCTCCCCATCTTGCCAGTTGCCAAAGTTGAAACAGTAGTGTTTAGCTCAAATGATTCTAATTGGAAACCATATTTTCAAAGCATCAAAGTCGATAAGGAAATCTTCTTCAGCCCAACCCCCCAAGATAAGCTGATCAGCTCGATCAACTCATCTTCTGAGTTGCCCTCACAAGCATGGTGAACTTAACTTCAAGACTACTCCTAGTCAATGACTCTGATTATGAGTGAATCAAGTCGATGAGCTCATTTAGGCTTGGACCGACCCCA